GTCTGCTGTTACTGTGGAAGCTGGGACAGTAAGGGGTGGAGTTTTTATTACTAGACATGAATATAAGAGAGTGGCTCTTCGGAGGGGTCAGCCGCTTGCTGAGGGTCTCTGCTAGTGGACCATTTGACCAAAGCTCTGAAGGCAGTTTAAGTAAGGGTTGGATTTTTCTGTGAGAGTTTAGAGGTAATGAGCAATTTGAAATCACAGCAGAGGGGATTTTGCTAAAGCCTTCAAGGAAAATGACTTCTCAAAGTGAAGGAGTAAAGAGAATGAAAACTCAGACGATGCTGGAGGATCCCCTTTTCCTTTCGAGTGGGCCTGTTGGGATGAGCCTGGGAGCCTGCTCCCCAGAAGCTGTTAGAATGTCAAAGGGACTGTAAGGTGGTGTGAGCTTGGGGGAGGTGGAAGGGGGAAGGAGGAGAGCCTTGGTAAAGAGAAAGGTAATTTGTTACACACGGCTGAAGTACAGGCATTGATCAGTTAAGACCTTTGGCTTTTGCTGGAAGGAAGCATTACAGTTACTTGTTCTGGTTCTGCTGTCACTGTCTTGAGGAGCAGTGGGGGCAGTGGTGTAGTGTAGTCTATGAAAAGCTTCCTAACAGGGGCAGGAAGCACAGGGACACATGTCAAGATGAGTTCTTTTACAATGAACTCAAAACTGAACACAGCCTATAAAGTAGTACAGAGTCACTTACATCTTAGAAATCTGCAGATCGTCTCCAAAGCGACCACTTGTTGCCGTTGCAGATCAGCTGCATGGGTGAATCGTGTAGATTGAAAAGGGGTATTGACGGCACAGCTGCCGATCTCGCTGAGCCAGGAACCACGGCCCGTGTCTCGGTGGCTCAGAGTCAGGAGTTTGATGTGATCTCACTGCAGTCTGCCTTTGTGACCTTGAGCTGCTGCTTAATTAGGGATTCTTAGTCTCCATATGTCAGACAAGGACCGACTCCTCAGCCATTTTGCTGAAATGGGATGAATATATATGTGAAAGTTCTTTAAAATCTAGAAAATATATGGAAATGTAAGAATTTATTTCAGTGTCCTAATTTCCCGGTTGTCTTTGAATTTTCTTGATTTGTCCTGTTGGATAAAGGCATTTATGCCATGGATACCTTTATCAGTCCCCGCTTATCAGATACTTTCATGTATAAATCTGATCTCTCCTTTTTTGGAAGGGGTAGGAGTGCAAGTTTTGTTTGTTTTGAAATTATACCATGCTTATTATCTTGACTTTTCCTTCCATACTCCAATGCAGTTTGTATTAGGGTTTTCATTCTGTGAATACACAGTTCATTCTAGATGAATTTTGTGTAAAAGCAAAAAGTATATCCATATGAGTAGTACAAGAATCAAATGATGACATTTTGAATTTTGTGTGGAGGTAAATGGCCTATGAATTTTCACTATGTCCCAGTTACGTTTTCAATAGCCCCAAATACGTTTATGATTGCTATACACAGTTAAGTCAGTCCCTGTATCTGAATGCAGTTCCTGTGTTTTTGTATGGTATGGCTACACTGTATAGAACATTACGTGGGGAATTACCTAGTGTAACGCTGCCCATCCTTGTATTCACACTGTTTTCTCTGTGGTTCTTTAGGTGTCAGGATGCATGAGTCTGTGAGGGAAACCCAGATCCACCAGGTGGCAGCACGATGTCACAGAAGGCAGTTAGGCATAATTCCATTGCTTCTAAAATGCAGGTCCTCTTGCACAGTTAGGAACCAGGCCCAGCATGGTTACTGTATGAACAACACATGTAAGAGGCAGAGACGTAGGAGGCCTGAGAAAACGGACAGGTATAAGGTGAGGAGGGTCCAGTGCTCTCCCACCCAAGGAAGGCTGGCCACCAGGGCTGCGCGTGGCAGACAGGCTGAGCCGTGATGATGTCGAAATTCTCTGGAGCCCCAGGACAGTGCAGTGCCCAGGCTGCCGTGAGGCCACGTCTCAGTGGACGTGAAACAGCAGGTCAGGAATACAGCCAGCCGGCCGAAGGGAGCAGTGGCATCAGGTCCTGTAAGATCTTTAGAGCTTTGATGGAGATGTACAGGATGTCTGATTAGAGTGGCGCCTGGTCTTTCCTGCGGTCACCCATAAGCAGGTGATCACGTAAGTGAGAAGGAAGAAGAAGTTCCGAGAAAAGAGTGGTAGTGTTTGCCTTGAGTTTTATGTTCTTCCCTTTAGGGTGCCCAGTCTGTCTTCTCTGAGGTTACCTTTCTTCTCTGCCTGCTCTGGTCCCTGGCCGCCGTCCCACTGACGCGGCCCCTGTGGCCCTCGCCCAGCCCATGCCTCTCTTGTGCAGCTCCGTCTCAGCCTCCACTTTGCCTCCTCCTGCAGCCCTTGGTGCCCTGCCCCAGACATTCAGTGTGGGACTCGGCTTTTGCTTATTCCTCCCTTGAGTGCTTAGACGACCTTGAAAGTTCACCGGCTTAGAGGCTGAAGGTGGGTCGGCAGCGAGGAGCTCAGACTCCTCCGTAGCCGTCCCACTGATGCCGTCGTGTTTGGTAATTTGTATCAAATCGTGATCTTGAAGGAAAAACAAAATACAGGGTCCTGATTACCTCAAAGGAGCCCTGGGGCTGCAGTAGTTCAGTCACCACTTGGCTGCCTACTGAAAGGTATGCAGTTTGAGTTCACCAGCGGCTTAGAGGGAGAGAGAGCTGGAGATCTGTAGCCGTAAAGGTTACAGCCTAAGAAGCCCTATGGGGAGTTCTGCTCTGTCTCAAGGGTCACTGTGAGCCAGAATTGATGGCGGCAACAGGAAGGAGAGATTAGTTTAGGAATAACCACATGCAGAAGATCAAACATTTTCAGCCTGAAAACCCCAACTAAACAATGTGCAGTCTGTGTTTTCTCTGTCCCCCCAGCCTTCCTGCAGTAGAGCCTAAGTAACTCCTGCCTGGTGATACAGACAGTCACTGGTATTTCCTGTATGGCTGGGGAGAAAGCATGGTCATTTACATGACTGTGGTACAAGGCCTTGTGGGTGCTTGAAGGCTGATACAAGGGATGCTCAGTTACAACTGATAATGAATTTCTGTAGCTCAGAAGAAAGAAGAACAAGTAGAAATAATTGGAGAGAGAGTTAAGATTTTTAGGAAGCTATATAATGTTCAAGCAGGCCTTCAAGGATAAGAGTGTTTTGGAGAATGGGGGCAAGTGAGAAACAGTAGGTCCCTAAGTATTCCAGTGGGCATCCCTGTTGGTAGGAACACATGGAAGGCAGGTGTGCCAAAGTGTGATCGGAGATCAGACAGCGGGCACGTGCGTGTGAGCATAAGATAAATGAGGGAGTGGTTACTCCCTGAGTTACTGTTGGTAGGATCTGATCCTTTTAATTCAGCAGGTGATGGGGAGCATGGGATTTGGGGAGTAGTGTGTTAGTTTTCAGAAGGAAGGTTGGGCAGTCTACTTCTGTAGTGATACCGCCTCGGAAACCCAAGGAGGGGTCGCTGTGAGTTGGATCCGACTTGACAGCCGTGAGTGTGTTTTTTTGTTTTGGTGTTAGTTTTAAGAAGCCTAAGATGGAGGTATAAGGTGAATGTAAGACAATGTCTGGAGATCACTGTACTTTTAATAGTCACTGCTGGGGAGGGGCAAGGTTGCTGTAGCACGTAGTGGACAGAGGCCGAGGCTGCTGCTGGCCATCCTGCAGTGTGTGGGCTAACCCTCCACACCGAGTATCATCTGGCCCAGAATGCCACTGGGGCCAGCGTTGAAGAACTAGGTTATTCCACGGTAACAAACAACCCCATATTCTTAGTGGCTGTCACAGTCAGGACTTCTTTTCTACTCATTCAACCCATGCATTGGGGTTGGCTGGCAGTCCTGCTTCCCTCGTCTGGAGCAGCCATTGTCTGCAGCATCACCCTTACACTGTTGGCCAGAGCCAGTTCATAGACCCTCCTACCCCAGAGAGATGAGGAATTGCAATCCTGCCATTTGCCCAGACAGGGACCAAGTACACTGATGAAAAGCTTCAATTACTCTCAAGGGAGGCTACCTGGGACCAGAAGAGAAGTCTGTGGGAGAAGCTGGCTTCTTCCTCTACATCAGGCATCTCTCAGTTCAGCAGGCTCTACCTCTGCAGTAGAGGAAAATTACAGTGTGTACATAATGGGATTGGAAGGCGATGGAGTGTTGCCCGATTATGAAGTGGCTTAGTGCTGCCAGACCAAGACTCTAGACCTAACCTTTGCACCTGTTGGGAACATTGCAGGTGTGTCTGGATATTGAGTTGCTTAGCTCTTCAGGTAGCTAGGCAGGGACTGGGCAGTGAGAGGCTGCAGTGGGAGCAGCCTTTGCTGTTGCTGTCTGTTTTCTGTACATGCACGATCATTGTATGTATGTGCCACGCTGTGAAAAACTCGGGGAGCTCCTTGGTTGTCGGTGGACTTAGTTCACAGAAAAGGAACAACTCTAGTTGCGGTGTGGGGGCTGAATTGGGAGGGAGAGCTGTAGTCGGACTAGTTAGGGAGCTGTCTTGAGAGTCTAGATAAGAAATAATGAAGGTTTCTGAGTGATGGCACTCCTGAAAATGAGCGGGGTGGACGGAGATGCAGATGAACTAGCGACGTGGAGGCTCGTGGCACTTAGGCAAAGTGTGTCAGAATGCTCTCAGGGGTGGGATTGTAATTGCAGGCACTGTGGGATTTGTGGTGGTGGTGGTGGGATGTGTGTATAGTGTGGTGTTTGTGTGTGTTGAGTGTGTGAAACTCTCAGCAGTTGTTGGTGTTGCTGTTCTAAATGCCCTGTTTTGGAGAATGAAAAACTGTCAGCCTTCTTTCAGTCCACTCCATACATTTTATTTTGCAGTCTGCATCATGAAATTTTAAAGTCTAAGAACATGCTGCTTTATATATCTAGAGCCAAAAGGACAAACTGCCTTAATTTTCTGAAAGCTTTTGAAATCTGAAAGAGGTAGAGTTTAGCAGTGAGAACCAGCACACTGTTCCTCCCTAGCGAATAACTGGAGAACAAAACAATTTTCGTTTTAGATGAAGATCGACTTTCTAGAAGAAAAAGTATTGTGGACACTGTATCCGTCCAGGTGGATATCCTGCCCAGCAACGCTCATTCTGATGACATGGTAAGTTGTGTGAGTTTATGCCTCAAAGTGGACGTCTTTGAACAAATGTTTTTGTTCTTGCACAGTTTAAAGCAGGAAAGTCACAAGTCCTAAATTATCCCATAATCAACTGCATTGTTAAATGAATATAATAAATTCAGCCTTGAACTTATTTATAATTTATTTTACTGAACTCATTTTGGCTGTCTAGAAAGATTCATAAACTTGATGTTATACGTTATAATATTAGATTTCATGTTGTAGTTCGGGGGGGACCTTAAAGGAACTGTAAAACAACCAAGTAACATTTGTTTCATAAGTAAGAAATGTTACAAGAGTCAGGCCTATTTTTAAGGATTTAAGAAACATAATTTATGGGAATTAATGGTATTAGATCTTCTCATATGAACCCAGAAGCTCATCTCTGCTTCCAGAGCATGTTCACACTTCACCTATGAGGGGTAATGGTACCATTTTGGATAATAAGCATAATGAGTTTCATGCAACTTAGGCTGGGTCAAGGAACTGTGTACTTTTGAAGGATTGTGATTTACTCAACGCATCATTTAGTTAACACTCCCCTCCTGTTTATAAATAGAGCACAGGAGTGTCCTCTCCCAAGTTACTGAAGAAAGTACAGCCAGTGTTCTCAGACTTATGCACACACAGCACCAGAGACTTTCATGATGGTCAAATAAAAACGCCCACATGCCAACCTGTCAAGTCAGCCCCTGTGCTTCATCCATTCTTTGACCCCCTGGGCCTTCCGTGATTTCTCTGTGGTGGTGGCACTGTTAGGTGCTATCAGGTCAGCTGCAGCTCATAGAGACCCTGTGCGACAGAGTGAAACACTGGCGGGTCCTGCCGCATCCTCACAGTCGCCGCCTGGTGCAGCAGAAATCCTGGAAGGAGTACCCGTGTCATGGGGGGAAGGGCGGTCTGAGTCCATGCTTCCCCATGCTCCTGTCTCCTGCCCACCTCTACCAGTTAGTCTGTCTTCAGGAATCCAAACTAATTGGTGGCCAAGGTTCCAACTCACTACTATATTTTCTGTGAGGATCCACTCTCCATTATGGAAAATTAATCAGTTTATTAAGAGATTATCAGAAGAATTCCATGAGTATTGAACAGACAGTGATCACTTTGAAGCTGAAGTTGGGCTTCAGGGCTAGTTCACGTCTCAACCCAATTGAAGGCTCGAGAACAGCCATCTTCCCTGGATTCGCCTGCTCCTTGAAGCTGTTTCAGTTCATACACTCCTCATTAGTAAGAGCTGCTGTCATTTAGTGATTATGTGTTATTTAAGGGAAGAAATTCATCCCGAGACTAAGTTTATAGATTCTTAGTTTGTTAAGAGTGTAATGTATTTTATTGACTAGCATATTCTGTTCTCCTTTTGTTGACTGTTTTATTTCTTTCAAAAATATACATATAGACAGACTCAGTCTGTTTTGGTAAAAGGAATTGATAAAACATCTGTATAAAACGTTAATGTAGGGGGAACATTCTTGAGCATGGATAAACTCTCAGTACCATCGAGTCATTTCCGACTTATAACGACCCCCTTTGGGTTTCCGAGGTGGTAAATCTTGGTGGAAGTAGATTGCCCAGTCTTCCTTCCACGGAGTGGCCGGTGAGTTTGAACCTCTAGCCTTCTGGTTAGCAGTCAAATGCCTTAGGCACTATGCCGCCAGAGCTCCTTTGAACATGAATATTACATTAAAGCTTCGTTAGTATATTTAACTTCTTAGAAGTCCTATTTGTTGTTTTTCGCTGGTTATACCTCTAAGTCTCCAGTCAGTGAGGCTGTCACTGAGCATCTGGAAAGTTACATTGGCAGCAAGTTTAGCTGAATACACTGGAGTGGCTAGCTCCCTTACCAATATGGAGTCAGTGCATGCTTCCCAGACGTCTCTTTAGATGGCAGCAGACAGGACAACGTGACCTTCTGGGCAGCAGCTAATGAATTCATTAATCTCATAGCATGGATAGCAGAAAGTAGCATTGGTTAGATATTCACCAGTTAATAGTGGAACAAAATGTCAACCTGTGTATTAGTATAGTTTTTAAACAATGCATCACATAACAAAAATCCCTTAAAGAGAAATATGGCTCTTGTATCTGGTCACAATTATTTGAAATTTTATATATATAATCCCAGGTGTCTTCTGAGAGGTCTGGTTTTTAGAGTGAATAATTTAAAAGAGAGTCAGGAGCATATTTAGATGGAGACTGTCCCAGGCTGCTCTTCTCCCTCGATATCCTCGGATTCCTGCCTCACTCTGCTAAAGCCCTGCTCCGCTGGAGGTGTGCAGTGCCGAACATCTGTAATTCATACCTGAGCTCACCATGAATCGCTCAGTGAACTTTTTCTAAATGTTGCCATAGATACATAGGTAAAGTTGCCTGATTTAAATTAAGGTATTCAAGAAGATAAATAACCAAAAGAGACTTTTCTTCACTCCCCAAGTTAAAATTACCAGCTTAAATAATAAAATAAGGCTTTTTGTGCGTAATCTCTTATACAGGCAGTCCTTGACTTAACAACAGGGTTCCATTCTGCCAAGTCTGTTGTAAGTCACTTCTGACCTCAGTTATAAATACCTCTTTTTTAGTTCTTGTTTTTTGTTATTACTGCCTCTGTTACCAGTGTCTTTATAAATCCAGTCTTCATTGCTCTGCGTCAGTCATAGCAGTGAAGTCAGAGCTGGATGGCTGTGGGGCACATATGCAGTTCGGTTGTGGTGCACCACTGCTTAGAGCTGAACATCCCACCTTCTGTCCATCAGAACATTCATGCTGACTCCATTGTAGACCAGCCCCAGTTTACTGTACGGCGATGTTCTTCACAGTAAATCTTACCCTTGAACATCTGCAGGTGAGCTTTTGGGAGGCTTGGATTCCCCAATTTCCTTGTTGCACCCTTTTCGTTGTTTTTTTTTCTTATTTTTCGGTTTTCCCCAAAAAAAAAAAAAGAGTCGTCATAAGTACAGTTCATTGGTTCATAGTAACCCAAGCACGTCGTAAGTCAAGGACTACACGTATGTGCAGAATTGATATGGGTGAAACCTTACATTGGCATTCAGTCATTTTCTGTAGAAGGTAATAGTGCTTGATTATTTGCTGGGAATTGATGAGAGATGACATGTATAAAATTTGAGTACCTATTAAATTTTTCTTTATACAAATTTAAGTTACTGGTTGGCTGAAAAGAATCGTTGTTTAATCTAGGACAAATAACAGATCTTTTTTTATACATACTCCTGCTTTCCAAATACAGCTGAAGAAGCCAGTATGTATGCTATCAAAACACAGAAGCTGTCATGAAGTCCGTGTTAGTCAACCTGCTGTGCTAGATGCTGTAAACCTACTAAGTAATCAGTGAAGTGACATAGCAACTACTCTGATTGGAAAAAGATGAGTAGCCGATTTCATGCAGACCCAGGGACATGATACAGTTTGTGTTAGAGTGACTGGTCACACAGCAGTCACAAATACTAAAATGAACTTTGGAATTTTTTCAGAGCAGAGCCTCATTTCAGGTGCTGCCTCTTGCCCACACATCCAACACAGCTTACCTTTCTCCCGGAGTTGGAACCGGTGGCATTTTGGTTGACCACCACATGAAATCAGTGGCTTGTGTTTCGCAGCTACAGTGTATGAAAAGTATGATTCATTAAACTTAGTTTAAAGCAATTTTGTTTGGCTTCTTTTTTTAAAATAAGATTCACTAAAGGGAAGAGTGGGAGACAAGATTGGAGCCAAATGATAAAGTTTTCTCACCAGGCTGAGGAATGATAGTGTGTGGTTTGGTAGGAAGGTGGTAAACTCTTGGCAAAGAACATTTGGGCAAAGTCTTTATCAGCTGTGCTCTCATAAAAGGAGTCTCTGAGAAGTGGGGCCGGAGTGTGACTGGAGGTAGAAGATGGCTGGGAGATCCTTGGAATGGTGCACACTTGAAGTATCAAGGAACTGAAAGAGAGTAGCCAGGGTGGGGATGAAGAAGAGGAACAAACGTCAGGAGCAATCCTGAGGTGGAATGGGTAGGATCCACATGAGACTCGGGGACAAGAAAAAGGAGGTTGGAGGGAAAAGGGAAGGGAGGCAGACAGAATGACTTGGAGGTGTTTGGTGCTGGACGAAGGCGCCATGATTCCCGCGTACTGAGCAACAGGACCAACTGGGAGAGCGGGTCTGTAGGGGGAGTACTTCAGCTGCTTACTGCTCTGGCGTTAAATAGGTAGTCAGTGAAAATGCTCGGTGACAGGCGCGCTGGCCTTCTAACTCCTGCCATGTGCTTTCTCCTGGGTTAGGGCTGCCTCTCAGAACTAAAGCTCGTAGCCAGTCCTAAGAACAGTGGTGCGGTGTCTTTTCATTGGAGTATTAGATTTCTTCTGGGTATAAATAATTGACTGACTGGAGCCTGATCTTGTGTGTCTGCTCCAAATACCTAGAACAGAGCAGCGGATGGTTCCCGAGCATAATCTGACTTCAGCTAGGAATGGGCGCCCTCGGTAGAAGCCCTCAGCTGCTGGAGCCCTGCCGCTGGGTTTCCAGCTAAGCCTTTGTGTTACGGAGCAGCCAAGGTGCAGAGTGCGACGCATTTTGCTTTCATTAATCCTGCTGCCTTGATTTAGCAAAAGAAGGCCCTGAGCTAAAACTGGCTATGACCAGACTCCCAGGCAGCTACTCACGTATCTTTTCTTAATTTTTTTCAGAGATACTGTAGTGGATGGATGCATTATTTCTTCTGAAAATGTGCTGGTGCCACAAAATACGGCTTTTTTTTTTTAACCTTAAAGCAGTTGGTTTCATACCTTTTAGATACCTAAAATCAAGAGAAAGATTTGAGGTGTAGGAGTATTAGTGGGGGACCTCAGAAGATCCAAATTACGCTCATCGCAGGATGTTGATTAACTGTTCTTACTGAATACATCCCAAAGTAGCGATTCTTTTGAACCACTCAAAGTCTTAGATTATTTCGTTTTTGATATGTAAACTACATGTGGTACCAAAATTAGAGAGGCTGTGGCGTACTTGGTACCCCTTTATCATGTGGATAAAAGTCCATCTATGCATAACCCCCGCCTGGCTATTGCCAAGCACCCTTCACTTCTGAAGAGGAGCTCTTCCAGGGGACCTCAGGCTGCTTGCAAGGCCGATTCCTGGCAGTTGGGTTCTGTCTTCCGGGGGTGGTTGGGCTGCGCTGCGCTCGACACTGCTCTGTTGATCTGTGTCCGGAAACCGCTGTAGTCAGGCCGTTGTTCAAACCAGTGGAAGGTGGAGATTGTATGGCGGTGTGGAGTGCAGTCGCAAATCAAGCGACACGAAGAAGGAAAATAAAATGCTGGCATTCTCAGCTGACTTGTGACTAGCTGAAGGTATTCCTGATGTTGACCTTTCTTAATTCTTTCTTTTACTTAAAATCACTTTTCTCTAGGTTAGTAACACTGAAGAAATCACCTTTGAAGCATTGAAGAAGGCAATTGGTGAGATTTTTGTATTTACTGAGCTCTCCTCGTCTTTTCCCAGCTCATCTTTGTCTTGTGTTTGTTTCGGTGCCAGGGTACAGAGAGATGTCAAGGAGGAGGAGAGAAACACTGTTGGTTTCTGTATAAACACATAGTTGATTCAGCTACGTGCTTTAGACTGTCCCTTGTCTTATTGCACCATAGGTAATTTTTTTCCTTTAGACAGACTGACGTTTCTAGAGCTGTGAAAGCAGACAGACGTTGTCTTAACGCTCCCCCTGTTCGAAGCCAGGATTCTGGTAATCTTGACTCTATAGGCTGCATGAATCTGGAAGTAAATAAAGACTGGAGGAATAGGCCACACACTTTGTTTCGTAGAAGAGCTGTGAGCATGAGAATTCTGAAGAATAGTGAGGAAACGGCATGGACTGGGTTTAGGCAGCACACAGGAGTGTAAGTAGAGGTTGGTTTGTAAGGAGGTAAGAGGAGGAAGCTGAGATAGTTAGCAGGCTTCTGAGGAAGTGAGGTCGATGCCACCAGGGTACATGACTTTTCCAATTATGATATGTACCGTGCTACAAAACCTAGCCTTCCTGGACAAATATTTTTACTTGAAACCCTTAGAGGATATTTTGTTCCTGTAACACAACATCAAATACACCAAAGTAGAACTAATTCCGCTCAGGGAGCATTTTGAATACCCTTATGTGTGCGATACTTTGAGGCCTTTAAAGACTGAGAAGATGCTGAGGAGTTTCCAGGTGAAGGCAGCGGTTCTTCCGGTGTGGTTCTGCGGAGCCTGGGGGCCTGCAGGAGACTCCTCCAAGGGATCCTGAGACTCGCTCATTTCAGACTCCTCCAAGGGATCCTGAGACTCGCTCATTTCATCACAGGCTGAGCCAAGAGTTGCCCTTTTCACGTGTTGATGAATGAAGGCGGCAGCACCGCATGCGTGGTCGTCATTCCTCCGCACACACTCGCAGCTAAACGAGGGAAGCAAAGTTCACTTCACGGTGTCCTTGAGGAAGCAGTGTGCATTGTGAACTTCACTAGCTCTCCACCCGTGAGCACGTGCCTTTTCAGTGTTCTGTGTGATGAATGGGAAGTGCACGTAACACACTTCAGGGACCGTGTGGAGTCGCACACTGAATTCACTTGTTTTACATGGAACACTGTTTTTTATTAAATAATAATAATAAAACAATAGAAATGACAGCCTATGGTATTTGGCAGACACATTCTCAAAAATAAATAAAGTGGGTCTGTCATTTCAAGGGCATGATAAAATGAGCACTTTGGAACAAAAATTGGAATTTTGGGACTTGTATCTGCCACTTGCATACAAAACAAAACTCACTGCCGGGGAGTTGGATCTGACTAATAGGGACCCCTCCTTGGGTTTCCAAGGCAGTATCACTACGGAAGTAGATTGCCCACTCTTCCTTCTAAGGAGTGGCTGGTGGGTTTGAACCGCCAGCCTTCTGGTTAGCAGTCAGATGCCTTAGATAGCTCTCCAAAATTGAAAGACTTGTCTAAAGAGATCAGTGGGGATAATCACAGATGTGATTTTTAAAATCTGTTTGATAATGAACTATCTTACTTGGAAAATCCATATATGTCAGCGAGCCTGAATTCTAAATGACCACTGTATGGAATCATGCCTGACCACAAGATCTGTTCAAAGGGTGAAAGAGACTACTGGGTTTTAATGTAATAATACCAGAAGGCCACGAACAAGGTCTCAGATTCCTGCGAACTTTGTAGAGCCACCACTTGTCAGGCTGTCTTGTGATATCAAAGAAGAGTGTCCACAGTTCTCTGAAAAGGTTTAAAATACCTTTTCCAATGCAGACCTTTCTGAGACTGAGTTTTCTTTATCTACTTCAGTTAAAACGGCATAGAGTTGACTGTTGCAGAAAGCACGTTCCAGCTGCTGTTATACCTGACAGTAAAGACACTGGCCCACCTATAAAACAGTGCCACCATTATCTCACTTTTTCAGTTTTGGAAAATACATTTTCCATTTTCCTGTTTTTCCACTGAGTAGAATTCATTTATGTCAACATGTGGCAGGTTTGTGCTTTTTTTCAGTTTCTCAGGGAGGGTAGTGGTAGTTCAGTGGTAGAGTTCTCGCCTGCCACGTTGGAGACCCAGGTCTGAGTCTGAGCGATGTACTTCGATGCAGCTCAGCTCACCTGTCAGCGGAGGCGGGTGTGCTGCTCTGAAGCTGGGCAGGTTTCAGTGCAGCTTCCAGACCAAGTGGGACTGCGAAGAGGGCCTGGGCTCTGCCTCCAAAACCCAGCCCGTGAAAACCCTGTGGGTCACAACAGGCCAACCCAACTACATGGAGCCACTGTAGTAAGCTGGGGGCCGATAACAGCACATTCCAAGGTGGCAGATACTGGTAGATAATGACACACAAGACCGAAAACTGTCTGGTTTTCTCAGTGATTTTTAAGAATATAAAGGAGTCCTACAACCACAAAGTTCGAGCATACCTGGTCACATGCACGAAAGCGGAGTTGCTGCCTGCAGCCACGTTGAGGTGGGAGTGTTCTCTTCAGAGTTTGAGTTCTTCAAGACCAGGGATGTGTGCCTCTGCCTGTCCACATCTTCCTCCGTCCTGGACTGATTTAAATATTCCTGTTTTCTGCGTGGCCCCTGGCACATTTGAGCTCTGAAACACTGTCTAGTGGACAGTAGAGGAGTGACCATCAGTTTGCATTATAGTCATTCACAAGGCCATAAAATGTTCAGCTATGTTAGTGTACCACGATTTCAAAGGAAAAATATTAATGCCCATTTCCTTTCTACCTGCTGTTTCTGCTTCATAAAACTAGCTAACTTTTACCTACTGTTTCTTTAACCTGCCTTGTTTAAAGAACCTTGACTGTAACACACTGCCTTTGTCCTTTGGAATTCACAAGGGGGAAGAAACTTGAAAAATCACTGAGTTGTTGCAGTAGTCCGTCAATGGATAAATTGGGAATTAGCCTCCTTTGGGAACTCTTAAGTGACCAGAAATAGTGGCATCAGAAAGACAGACATTGCTTATTTTTCGGTGCCACAAACATTGACCATTAACATATGATGTTAATATGAAAAGTGGTTTTTCAAATTGTGGCAGATATGTTGAAGAGACCAAGACAAGGCAGTGTGGTTGCACGTGACCTGTGTACCTCAGGTACTTCAGTACCAAGATCCCAGCGTCACAAGCAGTACAGTTAGTGGCTTGTATATGCAAGGGCACCATGTTTAATACAAGAGTTTCCCTCAGGAAGGCCCTGAAGGTGTTTGACTTGCAGGAAGTTATGTTTGTACTTTTTTTGGGACAAGACACAAAGGCTGTCTGTGAAAGAGGGTCATGTGCAGTGTCACTCTAACCCTGTTAGAATGCCGTGTGTGTATGCATGTGCACATGTCCATGCACATGGACTTTCTGGCCTCAAATAAGACATCTCAGGATCTCAGGAACGTGTGCTTTTTACTTTGTTCACCTTGGAAAGTAGTGCTATAAATTGCTCCACTTTCTGGCTTATGGCTCATTTGCTCGTATGGTCACTGGCAGAATTTTATAAAGCTGTGCGTTCCTTATAACGTGACTTTGTGAACCCTTCTGTAGATACCAGTGGAATGGAAGAACAGGAAAAGGAGAAGAGACGCCTTGTAATAGAGAAATTCCAGAAAGCACCCTTTGAAGAAATTGCAGCACAGTGTGAATCCAAAGTAAATGAACAAAAGGGGAAGGGGGTGTAGGTGGGGTTTGATTTTGTGGAATCTCTTTCTTGGAAATTGCTTGGTAGGTTCCAGGCCTTGGGCAGATTAGAACAGAAGGAAATATGTCGGACAGGGCCTGGAACCTCTGAAGGTGTAGCTGTGAACCCCAAATACTTCCTCTGTGTAATGTCAGCTGTTAAAATGGCCGGTCCCAAACTAAACGTTGATGCTACTGCTGCTTTGGCATTTTTCCCTCAGCATTTTTCAGTGATCTTGCTGCCGGTTTTATTTCTGTGTGTATGCTTCTTGGTAAAGCAGTGAGACTCTAGGAGAGAGGACAAAGAGAAATCTTAGATTAAGTTCCAATATGAGACAGATAAAGCTAAAACATTCAAGCTTTCTATATGATCAGCTGAAGAGTTAGTTATATCTGCTCATTTAAATTACATTTATATTGTTATACGTAACTGGAAAATAATAAATCTTAATGTCTTATTTATACAGTGCGGGTATAACAGAAATACCACTAAGGAGTGGCTTTAACAAACAGAAATTCATTTTCTCACAGTTTAGGAGGCTAGAAGTCCAAATTCAGGGCGACAGCTCTAGGGGAAGGTGTTCTTTGTCCACTCTGGAGGAAGGTACTGTCTCTGAGTCTCTGCTCCTGGGCGATGTTCACATGGCTTGCCATTGTCTCTTCCCCAGTCTTTTCTTACTAGCTTGAGTTTAGTATCTTTTATGTCTCAAAAGAGATGACTTCAAGATGCACCCTACACAAGTCCTGTCTCATTAACATGACAAAGGTAACCTGTTCCCAAATGGGATTGTAACTACAAGCACAGAGGTTAAGATTCACACAGATGTTTTGGGGGGATACAGTTCAATCCATAGCACTTAATGTTGTATTTTTGTCTTTTGCAGGCAAATTTGCTTCATGACAGACTTGCTCAAATATTGGAACTCACCATACGGTAAGGGTTTTGTTACTACAACAATAACACAACAATAGCAAAATGTAAATATTAGACTTCTGTACATTTGCAGCTGATTATGCTTAAGTTGTGTGCTTCCCTTTAGCCTGTGGTGGGTGAACTCAGGACCGTACAGGTGCATCTGTGTCTCAGTGGTTCTGCTTGTAGATGGGATCTGGTACCGTTTCTTTTCCAGGTATCTTTTGGCTCTTCTGCCTTCTCTCTTTCGATTGTTCGTTCCTTCATAATGGTCCTATAAGGAAATCTGGGTAATTTGAAGACCCACATTTTAATACTATGTTTAACCAGGAGGTTGCCCATATCAGACCATTTTCACCTACAAAAGCTACAATTAAATGTAGCTAAACCTCCTGTCACTTTCCACGTATCAGGAACAAGACAAGCATGTTTACTCTCACCATTTCTGTCCAGCATTGTTTAGGAAGTCTTAGCCTGTGCAATAAGGCAAGAAAAAAGAATATGAATATAAAGATTGGCAAGGAAGAAACAAAACTGTCTACACAAATGATATGTATGTGAGAGTCTAAGGAATGTACTCCCTCCCCCAAAAAAAGAAACCTACTAGAATAAATGAAGTTAGCAAGGTCACTGGATTCAAGGTCAGTGTTAAAAAATCAATTGTATCTCTTTATGTTAGCAGCAAACAGTTGGAGAATCAAGTTTGCAAGCATGCTATACTGTAGCATAAAAGAGTAAAATATCATCCATAAATTGCACAGTACATACTACCTGTTATCAACACAAAAGATTGCAAAGAGAAATTAAATATCTAACTAAAGACATATACCATGTTCATGGATTGAAAGATTAAATACTCTTTACATGCTGTTTCTCCCCAGATTGATCTGTAGCTTTAACAGAATCTCAATCAAAATCCCACCCAACTTTTTGTGTAGAAATTGATGAATGATTCTATAATGTGCAGGCATCCTTCAGATATATTATGTGTTCGGATCCAGACCACTGCCATAAAGCGAGTATCCCATAACGCAAGTTGTGTGAATTGTTTTGATTCCCTAGTG